TATGACCTCTTATGCATCCATTTAGTATGAATTAGGTTATACAAATATGCACTTTCATTATTATTTATTTTTATTTCTTGTTTATTTTAGTATGCCACCAAATAATTCATTTTAATCTAAATAATGTGTTTAGAAGATACAAATTCAACAATAAGAGTATTTATATCCGAGATTAAAGTGGTTTAATGAACACTTAAAAATATAGTTGAAAATTTCTTGAGGTCATTTAAAGGATCAAATATTCTTTAAATAGAATGGGCTGATTGTCTAAATAAATGTCTCAAAATTGAAAATATAACAAATCTAAATTATTCAATTTCATGTTCATCTAGGAATTGAGATGTTAAAATTTAAATATTTACTGAAGTAAATTTCCTCAGGTTATTTGTTGAAGTGTAGCATTCATAAAGAGATTATCAAAATTTCTTCTTAAGAAAATATACATGTCTTGGTCTTACACATTAAATGAAATTCTTTTAATAGAAAAAAATGAGTTTCTTGTAAAATTTTAAAGGTCCACACAGTATCACCTAACTATAGTAATTGACTAATATTATAGTCTCTCATTGTCCATTGTTGTTATTGATGGTCGTCGTCGCCATACCCTAGCGCCAGCTTTCAACCGACGTCAATCCCTGTTGTTGCCATTAATTAGCCTTGATCATTAAGTTAAATTAACTTTCTCTACCGCTCAACAGATGCCAATAATGAAATTTGTTTTATCACTGACGGGATTTCCCCTCCATTAGAAGAGCTACCAAGTCAACATCACCACATTTGCCGAACTTTGGGCATATTCAATCATATGCTGCTGAAAGAATGATCTACGATCGATGTTCATATTCCTACTTGCTCTTATAAAAAGAACAATCAAGTTAACCATTGATGGTTGCTCGAATTCAGTTGTTCCCTATTAATTGGTGTCCAATGCCACAATTAAACATCAAATGTTAATCATCCATCAATATTTGACATCCATCTTGTCCTCTCCTATTAAGAGAATGATCAAGTTTAATTGCGCATTATCAGTTGACCGGTAACATCTATTTGGGTTGTTGGATGCCACTCATCACTTAATGATTAACATATCTTAATGTCCACAAAGACCACCAAATGTGTTGTTATTCACTATTTGTGTATGTTCGATTGTATGAACCCGTTTTCTAACTAAGGAGAAAGTTGATACTTTTAAATCCTTGACTTGCGCTGATACACTTGTTTCAAGTAATAAGCTAGATCAAACAAGCTTCCCTTGTGCCTAGTTCTCTTATGCTAAAAAGATCATATGTTTGACAACACTAATGCGGTCAAAATACAGCCAAACTAACAAGATAAATATATAAGATAATATAAATTTAATTAAAAAAATAGGGTATTAACTAGACTGCCATCCTGCCCGACCAACCAACTTTGATCTTGAAAATAACCAAAAAAATTTTAAGGATTTTTTACATATTAACCATCCAAAATATTAAATATAACATCTTAACCAGCTGAACATTATATATAACATTTTAAACATTTTTTTTCTGTTTTCAGCTAGGGCTGGCAAAACGGCTCGTTGTTCGCGAACAGCTCGTGTTCGACTCGTTAATTTCATTCGATAAGTTCGCTAAGTTAACAAGCCGAACACGAACAATTATAGGGATTGATGTGTTCGGCTTGTTTTGGCTCGAAATACAACTCATCAAGTTTATATATATATAATAGTATTTTAAAAAAATCTAATTGACTACAAGGCTACAAAGATTTATAATCAATTAAAATATTGATTAAGAAAATAGAATAAAAATTCTTAAATTAGATTCAAATGATGTTTTAATATAAATAATAATTTTTAAATCTTGCTCAAACCCTTATCGCCTTATGGCTACGTGATTAGGGCTGTTAAAAGGACTTTTTGTTCATGAACAGCTCGTGTTCGGCTTGTTTTAAGCAAACGAGCCAAACACGAACATACCTTTTGAGCTCGAAATATGAACGAGTCGCTCGTGTTCGGCTAGTTTACACCCCTATTTTCAGCCACCCTCGAAACACACTTAATGAAAGCTATTTAAAATAGCATGGGTGGATAATATCTTATATTTAAGAAGTGAGCAATTAAAGTATTACATATAATATTTTAAATGGTAGATATCTAAAACCCCATAAATTTAATCTCTGTTCAACGTGCAATTTGATCGCCTCTTTTCTCAGACCTTCCCAACAAGGATGCTGAAAGTTCTTGTTGCTCCTCTTTAAGCTTTTTTTAAGAAAAAATTAGAGAAAAGAAAGATATTTTATAAGAGGAAAAAAAAAGGTTTTTTTTAAAAAAAAAAAAAAATCTGAAAGCTCTTTATCATTTTTTGAATATTTTTACATGGATGCAAATCTTAGGATCTGTTTGGGGGCAGCTTTTGCGTTTCAGGATAAGTCGGCTTGCGGGTCGACCGCGAGAGTCGACCCATGACCTGCATTTAGTGTTAAAACATCAAACGCGACAAGCAGCGTTTTCAAAAGCACGCAAAACAAACGGTTAGACGTCGTTTTCAAAAATGTAGACGCACTTATAAGCTACCCCAAACATACCCTAAGATTTATATCTAAAACCTTCATATTTATATGTACATACATATCATTCAAATTTTTAACATCACATCAAATATATCGTCGTCATTATCATTAAAAAAAAAAAAGACATCATTATAAACATGAATATTAAATTTTGGGTGTTAGATATATAATTGCATAAGAATTGTTTGCCATGTATGTAAATTTTTCTTTTCCATCGCATAATTGTCGTATACATAAAAACTAATCCATCATTCAAAATTGAATAATTCAACTGTTTGAAGCACAAAAAGAGCATTAAATTTCAAGCCAAAAAAATCAGATGAATAAATAAATCAATACAATTTTAGTCACAATCTTAATAGGAATGAGATTGTTTATCTTATTTACCATAAATTTGTCCCACATATATTTAATAAAATGAATTATAAGCCGCTAATTTAAAGTCCTAATTTCATTTATATCATAAAAATATAAATTATGAAATAGGGTTGCACGGCGGCATTGAACGAACTTAACCTCTTTTATGCGTTTCTATGCTCACTTCTAGGATAAAATTAAATTAAGGGGCATTTACTAACATGCAACACAATTCTTTTAAATTTTATAAATGTACATATATATCATCTAAATTTTTATATTCAGTCACATGTCGCTCAAATCTTTGACATTAAATAAAAAAAATGCCAATGATATTAAATTCGTAAAATTGAAAAACATTTTTTCATGCATAAGTTTTAGCACTGAAATGCTAAAAATGTAAATGTAAAACCTTAGAGGTTAGATGTGAAAAAACATAAGAATTGTGGGGTATGTATGTATATTTCTTTTAAAATAGTATAAATGTTCCAAAGAATAGTATTCTCTGTACCACGAAAAGGAAAGAGCCTTGTCATATTTACACACAATGTTCTGTAGTAGGAACACATTATATAAATAGCGCATTTACCTGCAACATGGTGGTTGATGGTGTAGTTTCTTATCTTGATGCATGTACTTTCTTGTTTTTCCTTCATAAAACACCCTTCCTATATGTGGTAGTTGTTTTTTAGTTTTTCTATTCATGCAATCATGATGATATTCTTAGTCTTGGTTTTTTTTTCCTTTTGATGTATTTACTGATAATTCAGATACTTTATTTGATGGTCAAATTGAGTTGCGTAATGGGTTGATATTTTTGTATTTACTAATAATTCAGATACTTCATTTGCAGGTCTGGCTGAGTTGGGCAGTGGGTTGGTGTTTTTGAGCTATGATGTACCCAAACTTTGCTTTGCGTCACAACTGTATTTGAAGATATAACATCATTTTTTGTTATTTTGGTATTGAATTTGGTTGTATATTGATTTATTTGGATACGCTTCTATTAATTGAATATAATTCATTCCTCTCTTGGACATTTTGTATTCGACTATTTGAAAGTATACTTAGATTTTTCTACTATTGGATCCTTCTCATTACTCTTGAGTTGGGATTAATCAAGTGATTTGGATTCTACTTACTAGTGTTTGTTCCTTTTGGAATCTCCTCTCTACTGATAATGTTATTATCATGCATCATTGGTTTTTTCAAAGCTGGTTTTGGATATTAAAAGGACTTTGATATTTTTGTTTGTTATTTTTGATCTTTGATGTAATTTTTTCTTTTCAATAAAAAGTTAAGCATGATCCTCATATTTTTTACCAAAAAGAAAATCATTTTTACAAGAAATCCAATCACATCACCTAGCCAGGAGGGCACATTAATTAGAAACCTAGCTAATGTTTTTATAAATGTAACTATTAAATTTTAGGTGTTAGATATATAAATACGAAGAAAATTCGTGGTATTTAAAGAGAAATTTAAATTTTACATATCTTAGAGCTAAACATTAGTATTTACATATAGATCATTTTAGAGCTTTAAACTTATAATAACACAATATTTTTTGTTGTATTAAAAATTTGAGTACTTTGTGTGTAAATACGAAAGTTTAGGTGGGAGATAGCTAAATGCATTATAATTTTATTCTATGTGCAAATATGGGTGTCAAGTGACTCAAGTCAGATCCACAGAGCAATTCGAGTATGATCAAACCCGAACTGTGACCGAAACCCAACCCAAATATTAAATGAGACAGAAAGTCCAACCAAACTCCGGACCCAGACCCTGTTTAACATAAAACATACTACATATGCATGTGGATTTTAAGTCAATTTCATGTTATCAATCCAGTTTCAAGTCAATTTCAGGTTCAACTCCAAACAATTAATAGATTACGATTTCTAATCGGAATCTGACTCAAAAGTTACTCTGGGTCCACCCGAACCAAAATCCAAACCCGGATTATTTTGGGTCCAATTTTTATACCCCACTATATAAATGCCCCTTTATTTTCCTAAAAAATATATTCATTCAGCCGCCAATTTTTTCAGAAGTTCAAAAATTAACTCCATCGAATTTTTTTTCTCCTTTTTTTTATGCGGACAATCGCACCAAAAAGAAGTAAAAAAAGTCACTCCTTGGTCGCTCTCCGCACAAGTTATTCGCCATTCTTTTCCTCGTCGATCTCACGAAAACCCCTCTTTAAACCTTCTGCTCTTTGGCTCTCCAATGGCGAAACCATATTTTCTTCGAATCCTTTTAGGGTTTGTCCTCTTTTTCTCCGTCCCCGCAGCAGATGGAGGATCGATCCACGATCTCCTTCGCGACCATGGCCTGCCGGCTGGTCTACTCCCCACTGCGGTGTCATCTTACAATCTGGATCAGGACACTGGTGTGTTGGAAGCTCATCTCGACCGTCCGTGCTACGCCAAATACGACGGATTGGTATTCTTCAACGAGACGGTTAGGGGTAATTTGAGCTTCGGTGGGTTGAGGGGTTTAGTGGGTCTTTCGCAGGAGGAGCTTTTTCTATGGCTGCCGGTTAAGGAGATATTGGTTGATGATCCTTCGTCGGGAGTTATTCTGTTTGATATGGGCGTTGCTCATAAGCAATTGTCGCTTTCGCTGTTTGAGAATCCGCAGGATTGTAGTGTGGGTGCAGGGATTAATGGGAAAGGATTTATCCGGATGATTAGAGAAGGTGGTTGTTGTTGAAAATTTGATTTGATTTTTTTTTTTTTTGTGTTAGGGATTGTTGTGGGCGCATATGAGCCTGTTTTTGAGCTTGGATTTTAAACGCGTTCCATTATCAAAATTTAATTTTGTTTTTATGTTTCGACTGTCTTTTAGAGATTTAAACTTGAGTGTGAGTTTTCGCATTTTTTGCTTCTTGGAAATTTTTGTGATTCTGCAACGGCTGGTTTTGTGCTGCATCTTGATTTACCCGTGCTAGGAAATTTTAAAATCTAAACTTTATGGATTATGATTCTTTAATTTGAAGTGATTGATTTTTCCTTTTGCATGATTTGAATGAACTATGATTTTACGAATTTGATGGCATGTCCTGTAATAAAAAATGGGAATTTCAATGCTTCTATGGGTGTATAAATTTGAGCTTGAAATCTTCTGTTTTCATCTAGCTTCTGTCAGCTTTTCAATCCCGATTCTTCATTTCTGGGCAGTTTTAAAAAGGTTGAATATTTTAATCCTTTTCATGCATAGATTTAATGCAACTAAGTGTAATGTATGTAATAAATTTGGAAGTTTAGATGCGAGATATGTAAATACATAAGAATTAAATGTCCCTTTCTGCATTTTGACTAGCCCACTTCAATAACAGGTCTCCTTACTGATAATCTAAGATTCTAGGGGCTGTCTGGCAATGGAGTTAGCTCGAGATTTAAGCGGGGTGTAGGCTAAATCTTGCCAGAAGGTCATTTTGGACAAAATAAAGCTGCAAATTTGATAAATCTAGATTTCACGGATTTTGGCCGTAAATCCTGAATTTATTAAATCCCGTGAATTAGAGGATTTACGGGATTTACGGCGCACGAGAAGGTAAGAATGCAGGTGAGAACAATGCGATTGGTTAAATCTTGCCAAACACTTTTATTGGATTTATATGGTTTAATAAATCTGTTGCTAGACAGTTTTCTGGATAGAATTTAATTAATTTATTTAATCATAATAACTTAAATCTAATCCGTTGCCAGAGAACACCCAAATGCTTTATAATTCCACCTTAATCAACACATCTCTAGATTTTCTTATGCATCCAATGCATTTTGTACAATTTTCCGTTTCAATTTGTTTTAAACATGGTTAAGAAATCTTATTAGACCAATCAATACATTTGGTGGAACCCTTTACTGCTATTCTTTCCTCTATTATTATTCTTCTTCTTTGTTCTTTCTATTTAATGAGATATTTGCTTTATTGTTAGGAAGATCTGTTAAAGCAGCCGTCTTTATTCCATGTGAATTGTTTTAACTTGACTCAAATTGGATGCTTTTTGCAGGATTTGGAAGGAAGGCAATAGGATTCCTGGGGGGATGACAAGGACTTAAAAAATGCTTTAGATTTGTACTTCCGACCTCTATCTTCTTCTCAAGAGTGTTTTTTTTATTAAATTTTGATTCTCATTTATCAAGATGATTTTCCTATAAACAGGAGTTTTTCATGGTAATATTCTGCAGGAGAAATGATGTTTTGTGAAATTTGTTTGTCTTTTTATCTCGTAAGGTTCTGTTTGAAAGCTTGTTATTTGAGTGAGGCTCTATTTTGTTGCTTTGAGTTAAACATTTGTATTGGAGAATGATAAAATGTCTTACTTTTGCCATTTTGGTTGAGTGTAAGTTGGGAATCAACCTGAACTTGATGTTTGAGAAACCTCTTTGATGTAAATTTTAGGTATAAATGAGATAAAATGAAATGAAAAATTTTAAAATCTCTATTATTTTAGTTTCTGATTTTTAGAGAATGGTGTTATCACCAGTAATGTTTTTATTGGCCATTTAATTGCTTTTAAAGTTGTTGACATATATGTTCTACATTTTATGACCAATTCAGGAATATTCAAGAGCTATACTATACTGATGGGAGAAAAGTGTCAATATTGTTTCCTGATTTTTTTAATTAGAGGCCATTTTAATCCCAGAGTATATAAAATATCAATTTAGTCCCAAATTATTTTAATAGGATCTGAATTAATACTATGTGACTAAATTGAGCTAAAGAGACAGAGGACTATTTTGACACTTTACTCATTTTGGTGGAGAAGGTTATGAAGGCTCCACAGAGGCTATACATTTAATGAAGAAGGTTAAAGAGTAGTTAAATATATTCTTAATAATAAATATATGATTTAGGGCGCACTTAGCCGTTACATAGTGATTGAGGGTGTAGTTTCTCATGTGAGATTGCATGTTCGAATCATGCATCCTTTTCTTTGGGTTCACCTACCCCGAAAAAATGTATAAATGATTTAGGAAAAAAAAAACTTTTTTTACTTTGAAAAAACCATTTTTACTTTTCACAACTTGATAATTACGAAAACTTCAAATTTGTTTTAAAATAAATTAACAAATTTGCAAAACAATTTTGAAAAAAAAATGAACCCCGTTAAATAAAGTACCACAAGAGTAGGATAAAAAAGATTTTGAAGATATTTATGTGCAAATTGTTATAAAGTATGAATAAAGTATGAATGTTACTTGGTATTGTAATATTATTTCTTTAGGTGTTTGTGTAGTTATTTGTATGATATAAATTCTCTTTTGTAGTTTAAAGCTTTATGATTATCCAAAGAATATGTTAAAATTGACCAAGCGCCAATCAACCTTGTAGGTTCTAGTTGGCCCGACTAACTCCACTTAGCCTGACCTGCTCTAGTTAGCCTGACCAACTCCATTCAACTCAGTCAGTTCCAGTCAACCAGACCTGTTCCATTCGACCCGACTAGCTCCATTCGACTCGACTAACTACAGTCGATCCAATAAGTTTTTGTTGACTCGTCCAACTTTAGTTGGCTTCAGCTAGCTCCATTTAGTTCAACAAGCTACAGACGACCTGTCAGTTAAATTAGCCTAATAGGTTCTAGTATGCGCTTCTAGCTCTAGTCGATCCGATCACCTCTAGTCAGCCATATCCAACCAAATGAATATGACATGGAGTATAATTGTCATCTTATAATAATTCTTCTCTTAGATGAACATTATTATGTAAAGCTAATATGAAAACAATATTTATTACTGTTCATCTCACACACACTATTTCTCTTCGTCTACGCTCAATTCCTTGGGTGTGATTTACAGATAATCTCGTATTCAACGTTTTAAAAGGTGTGGTGAGTGTGAATTATGCTACAAACAAGAAGACAAACAACAAAAGGAGAACGAAATCATAGAGAAATGACTAGTAAAATATAACACATTGGAGAACTCGACAGAGAGAATTGTCAAACTCATTAATTCAACCTCATCCAATTGACCTTTACTGACATCATCCAATCAGCCTAGCTAGCTCTAATCGACCCGCTAGGTTCCAGTCTTCCGGCCAGCTCCAATCGATCTGACCAGCTCCAATCGACCCGAGAAGCTCCATTCTGGTGGATTGGCTCCATTCTCCTCGAGCAGCTCCATTCGTCCCAATTAGCCGCAGTCGGCCCACTAGCTCCAGTCGGCCTGCCAGCTCCAGTCGACCTGAAATGGTCCAATCGGCCTTACAGGTTCTAGTCGACCCAATAAGCTCTAGTCGGTCGGCCTGCTCCTGTCGGCCTGACTAGCTCCAGTCGCAAGTCCTGCTCCAGTTCGCTCAGCCAGAAAAATTACTCTCCCAAAAAAACTAAAAAATATATTTAGAAAAATAGTATTTCAAAGGGAATATAATAAACAAAAAAGTGAAGTCAAGCAACAAGAAAAAGTATATAGGAAAAAATCTCTCAAGACCCTCCTTATTTTTTGTTTTATCGCATTTATGATATTTCTTTCTTAAATGTGAATTCGCCCATAGCACTTGAGGAACTTGTCTGTCACAGTCAAGTTTCTAAAGTGTAAAAGGACAATAGCCTAGATTTTTGGGCCCTACTCAGCTTAATAACTGAATGTTAGGAATGACTTTGGAGAAGCTCTTTCTAAAATATAACTCGGTCATATAAAATGAAGTAAATTAACTCAGGGTTGAAGATTACGAGATCTCGGCCAATGTAAAGTTAACAAAATACAATGGCTACTCTTTATAGAAGAGCTACAACTCCCAGGTGATGATTAGTCCAAATTTAACGAAACTAATTGAATTTCTTTATAACCAAGTCATATTAAAAGAAATAATCATTCTAGTTGCACAAAAAAGGTGACTCATTTCACTAATAACACTTGGAAAACTCTTCTTATAAGACCAAGTTAATTGTAATAGTGCTGAGTTGGCGATCTATGAAACTACTTCTTGAAGGTGGGCCAAAATGCTCTCAGGAAGAGTCTTCCAGGCAGATAAATAGTCGTCACATAAATATCCAACTCATTTTTACTTAAAGAGTTTTTTTAACTTGTATTTCGAGAAAAAACATGCATTTGTCTTATGGAGATGACTAATTTTGGTTTTATTTTTTTAGCAAATGTCTTTTAAAGGGATACTTGAATTTCATCTCTAGCTGACTGAATAGGATAGTGGATATAATTATCATTTAATAAGAGGGATGAAAATCGAGCATGAAAACACTGTCCCTGGCAGTTCCTGTTTGTTTCTCCCCTCTTTTCTTCTTTGGTCGCAACAAACATTTTCCACTGTTCTCTGTTCGTCTCAATTGTTCTTCGCTTCCTCCTCCTACTTGAACTCCACACAAGGTAAATTCCTTTCTCGTCGTTTTCGTTTGATGTTTTCTTTCTTTGTTCACCCAAAAATCATTTTTGTTTGTCTTCTGTCTCACAATAAGTCAGCACGACCCCCTCCGTATACCTTCTTTCCAGAACTCACAACCTTTGCACGGTGTCTAACCTGCTCTAGCTCTACACGAAGCCAATCTTCTAGTCTTCGCACACTGTCTTGTGCTCTTCTCTGCCGCGACTCTGTCGAAGCCCCACACCTTTGTTCTTCCCTAAGCAATCATACTCGAGTCCCTTGCCTATATCATGATCGTCTTTAAGTCGCCGTCCCTAGGACTCCCACTGCCATTATTGTTGGCTTCCTCGCTTCCAAAGCTGCACAACCTTGCGATCCACTGCCTTACCCTTCACAAAATTTTGGGGCGCGGGCTAATTCAGCTATCATGTCTATAAGATAGGGTCGTAAGTCCCATCCCACTAGTCCAATCCTCACAAAGACCAGAGTTGACTAGTTTGGTAATTTTAAAATAAATCTCCAAATCCTGAATAAGAGTTTATAAGTCCAAATCATCCCACTAGTTCTAATGAACTCTAATAAATGTCTAAATTCTAAAATAAAAGTTTATAAGTCCAAATCACCCAACTAGTCCGATCCTTCTCCTCGTAAGGATCGGAGTTGACAAGCCTAGTAATTTTGAAATAAATGTCCAAATCTTGAAATAGGATCCTACAAGTCCAAATTATCCCAACTAGTAAAGAGCCGACATGACTTTTGTTTTAAAAAGCTTAAACTTTCATTGTTGCACTGCTTCAATTAGAAAGTAACTCTATAGATTATTTTTACTTCAAAGTATTATGTCTGGTCTGCTTCTATCTCTCTTTCTGAAATGTTGTGGCCCATATCTTTTACTTTAAAGCTTCCTCTTTTCATCTTGCGGTGGCCCGCGTTGATGGTGGCCTGAAAATTATCAGGCAACCAATGCTTTTATTTTCTAACGAATTTAAGCATTGATTTGTCCTCTTTCTTGAAACTGATAATTTTAGAGGATCCTAATCTCCATCTCTATTAAAAAAAAAAAGAAAGATCAGCACAGGTTTTCAATTGCTAAAACAACTGTGAATATAGCTAATTTTGCGTACATTAATATAAATGGAAATATTGTTTATCAATTAGACTGATTTTGTATTGTCAAGTTTTCTTATGCTTATCTTGCAGTGGCAGACATTGAGGATGGTCTGACCCATTATCAAGCAAATATTTTTTTTTTCTAAGTTAGGAGTGAGAGGTCTTCTAGAAAGCTGCTTTTATTTTTTTGATGAACTCAAAAATGATTTGGTGTCTCGTCTGCTGCACATATTTGGACAAATGTGCTTCTTAAGTTTGTATTTGGCTACATGAGGATTGGTAACTGTCCATTGTTAGGTTGCAATGCCATGGATTTTGCTGCTGCTGGTGTTGTTTTTATGTTAATCTCCACCAAGAAATGCAATTTTATCGACCTTTTGTATGGCGATTATTCAAATTTGTTCCCAACTTTCTTTGCTGCTTTAGCTTCTTTCATTCCTGCTGATGGATCCACAATTAGGGAATTGGACAAATACTCCTA